GGGTAAGATCAGTAGGTGCGGTGTCTAACCTAAGACAGGCGCTGGTTTCATACATGGTCAAATAGGAGAGCACCAAAGGTAATCCTGTTGCGCTTTTGCAGTCTTCAAATAATTATTAAAACAGAGAGGATCTGTTGGAGGCTGCTAGTTCAACTTAGCTGAAGCCATTTTGTAAGTTCTCTGAAACCATTTGGTAATTCTCAAAGAACGTGTTGGGACATGTTGCCCTGGGAGGATAGGTTTCGGGAAACACCCTGCTAAGTTTCTGTTTACCAGATAACTTTCAGATTACTAGAAATGACATGATGTTCTTCTCCCACATTGCGAGTACTTCTCCCCCCATTGTGCTTCTGTATATAAGCTGTGAGAGCTTTCAATAAAATTGAGACTTGATTGGAAATTCGACTTGTCTCCACACTTCTGTGTCTCCTGTCCCCCCCCCCGTCCTCATTCTCTTTCTTTCCCTCCTAGGGTCACCGTTGAAGATCCCTGAGGGCCGGGGCACCTGTGTAACTTTCGTCCTTTCTCCAGGTTCATAGGGTGTCTAGAGGAAAGCTATTATGGAAGTGGATTCCACTCCTGCTTCAAAGCTTGTTTTAATCAGGGAGCTTCACCAAACAGTGTCCACCATGGGTAACCATTCTCACATTTGACTCATCATTGTCACGGTATTTGGCTTCACAGCAACCACGAGTTACCTCTGTACAGCAAGTGGACGTACCAGGGTTACATGACCTAGAAGAACGTTTGAACAAAAACAATGAAAGGCAGGCCTGAGGGCCACGTAGTAGAGTCACCCACCTTAGACGTGGGAGCATGACTTTCTGTCTGCTAGGCCAACTGCTCTCTCTCTATGCTGTTGTTGTTGTTAAATGTCGTTGAGTTGTAGGCGACTCATAGAGACCCTATGAACGAAAGTCTTCGACACCTGTGTTACTTTTTTTTTAATGAAGTGATTAATAAAAGAATTATACTTACATTATAACTTTTATCATGGGTCTGTTCAGATGTTCAGTTTCAGTTTGTGTCAGTTTAGGTAGGTTGTGTTACATTATAACTTTTATCACTGCAATTCTTTAAGTTAGTCAAATAATTATGCTCTTTAAAAATATTTTAATATTATTTCATGCTCATTAATTAATTGAAGTTGAATTGATACAGTGCCATTCTCAGAGGATAAACTATATCTAAATTTTAAAATTTTTCTGTCTTTATTCAGTTTCATAGTAGTCAGAGAATTGGACAGTGACTAGGGATGATAGAAAGAGAATTGATGCCTTTGAGATGTGGTACTGGAGAAGAGTGTTGAATATACCTTGGACTGCTAGGAGTCCAAACAGGTTTGTCCTTGAGAAGGTGAAACCAGAATGCTCCTTGGAGTCAAGGATTCTGAAGCTTCGTCTGACATATTTTGGGCATGTTGCAAGGAGGGACTGGTCCTTGGAGAGGGACATCATGTTTGGCAGAGTGGAGGGACGGTGCAGGAGAGGAAGACCCTCAATGAGAGAGATCGATTCTGTGACTGGAGTGGTGGGAATGAGTGCGTTTGAGATGGCTAGGTTGGCACAGAATAGAACAGAGTTTAGAGCTCTTGTCCATAAGGTCGCTATGAGTTGCAAGCAACTCAATGGCACATAACAAACAAAAACAGTAGAGAAAAACCTGCCTTACAGAAGGATATTGACCAAAATAACAGAGATTTTTAAGTGATTTTAGCAAGCTTAGGAAACATATTTTAATATGATACTTTTCTGTTGCACATTACAAAATTTACCACTTTAACCATTTGGTGCAATTTAGTGGTATTAATACAGTCATAATGTTGTGCAACCATGACCACTGTCTATTCCAGAGGTTTTTCATCGTGCCAAAAAACAGCAACAACAACAAAAAGCCTCATTAAGAAGTCACTTCATATTTTTCCCTTTCCCCAGCCCCTGGCAACCATTTTTACTTTTTGTCTTTATGGATTTGTCCGTTCTAGATATTTCATGTAAATAGAGTCATATAACATGTGGCCTTTTGTGTCTACTTTATTTCATTCCTTATTTTGTTTTCTGAGTTCATCCATGTTGTAAGATCTATGAATATTTCATTTCTTCTTATTGGATAATATTTTATTATATGGCTTTTTACCTTTTCATTTTACCTATGCACCCATTGAGAGGATATTTATTTTTCATTTTTGTCCAAAATAGAGAAAATGATGCTGTGTTTATTAGTCTGTCTCCAATTCTTCATCATTTGCCAATCTAACAATTTATTTCATATTAGAATTAAATTTACATTATCAAAGAAAGGAATAGATTCCATGTTTTAAATACTTTTGAGTAATAGCAAAAACTAGCTATAGAACCTCACACACTAAGAACATGTTCCTGTTGCTCATTAAAAGGGCTCCGTTTTCACTACATGGGATGCAGCAGGCAAATCAATGATACCCAAACTAGCCTAGGAACAGTTAGTTGTCTTAGAGTCAAGGGTGACTCGTTCTCATGAGTAGAACTGGGCTCTATAAAGTTTCCAAGGGCTCATTTTTTCAGAAGTGGACTGACAGACTTTTTTTCTCAGGGTATTGGGTGTGCTTGAATCTCTGTTCTTTCCATTAGCAGCAGAACATCTCAGCCAGGGACTCCAAATAAACCTGCTGTTTATTGTTTAATAAAACATTATCACTGGTCACACTCATGGAAGCACTTGGATATCAAAATTATAACAAAATGTTATGAAAGTTCCTAAACACTCACTTTCTAAACTGATCTCATCTCTGATAAGCTGGTAGCTAGTGGACAGCACCAGTTTTGTGGACCACATTTTGAAAAATTCTGTGGTAAGGTTGTTACAACATTTCCTGGGCCATGTAGCAATTGAGTGTCCCAGCCACTTGACTTCCCATGTCTTGTTCTCCGTTTGCACTTACCTCAGGCTACCAGAGACCATCCTTTGAATGGCAGTGATACCAATGCCCACAAAATTTCTCATGACCTATTTCCATTGCTAATTGCGATCTGCGTGTACCTAACACTGGACCAATGCAATCCTAGAGACCACTTTGAGCATCTATTTCCTCAGACATCAATAGATTATATTGAGGACAGTTTAATAAGGGGAGTCCCAGTGGCACCATGTAGTATGTGCTGGGCTGCTAATTGAAAGGTTGGAATCCACTTGTTACTCTGAAGGAGAAAGATAAACAATCTTCTCCCATAAATACATATATAGTCTTGGAAAGATGATGGATAGTTGCTATGATTTGAAATAAATTAATTCAGTAGTAGGTTTTGGGAGGCTACTAAGTGTGAGGAGTCCCTAGGTGATACAAACATTTAACAAGGTTGGCTATTAACTGAAAGGTTGAAGGTAGATTTGGGCTCACAAGCACCTTGGAAGAAAGGCCTGGTGATCTACTTCCAAAAGATCAGCCATTGAAAATTAAATGCTCTAATCCCACTTGGAGTCATTATGACTCAGAGTTGATTCAGCAACTAGTTTAAAAAAGTATGGAGTGGGCACAGGAAAACTACCATAAAGGATAGTGCAATGCCTCAGGGCTAGTAGCATCAAGATGTCATTGCTGCCTGAAGGGATGAAAGCCAGGGACAGGATTCCAAGATGGGAAAAGAGAGGACTTTGTAAAGGAGCACCTGGGACTTTGGCAAAGTCGTACAGAAAGACTTGTGTTTATTCTCAAACCTTGGAGGATGAACACTCCTTCACTTTTCACTCTACCACCATCTCCTGTCTGGACACTTTACTGGATGATATTCAACCAGCCACCAGAGGGCCTGGTGACTTACTTTAGAGGTCAGGGCACAGAGAAGAGTTAAAGGGCAAACTGAAATCACCAGTTCTCAGTTCTTAAACTACCAAGATTGGGGCTCAGGATCCTGGTATTGAAAATTACATGTTGTTTTAATGTAGAGAAGCTTATTTCTTTTTCTCTCTCTTTTTTTTTGTGGGGTTCCCGATCTTTAATTGGCATGTGTGTTTCTGGGGGAGGAAGTTTGTTCCTCAGCAGCGGCAGCCTTCTTGACATCTGGTCTGAGGGAAAAGGGGTGGGAGTCTCCTGGCCCTCCCGAGGTGACCAGCCCTCCGAGGGGCACACACCACTACTCCAGGGCCTTCACCAGGGCCTCACCGGCCTCAATGCGGATCTGGATCTCCGCCCGCTGGGCCTCGTCAGCTGCTCCGGCCAACTCCGCCTGTGCCTTCTCCAGGTTCGCCCTGGCTGCCCCAGTGTCCAGCATGTCCAGCGTTACGGCCTCTTCTGCCAGCAACTGCACAGAAGAGTCAGTGTTGACTGTGACAGAGCCACTGCTCACGAAGTACTTGCTGGTGGTGCCATCCTCAGCGTGGACCACTACCAACCCAGGCTTCAGGACCTGCAGTGTAGGCACATGGGACGGCAGGATGCCGAAGGAGCCTGTCTGCGTGGACACATCCACCTGGCGGACGAGGGCATTGTGGAAGAACACCTGGGTGGGCGAGGCGAAGGTGAAGGACATCTGCCCGGGGCCGGCGGCGGGGGCCGGGGCGGCAGCGGCCTCGGCGTAGGCGCGGGCCTGGCGCACGAGGCCAGAAGCTTATTTCTTAAACTAACAAGTATTTACATTGTGCATGTCCTGTTACATTCTTGGCACTAGCAGTCAGAAAACGAAAAGACTAATTGGATTAGGAAAATCTGCTGCCAGAGACCTCTTAAGAGTGCTTGCAAGCAAGGTTATTAACCTAGAGACTAAAGGTGTGCTTCATCCAGGCCATTACCTTTGCAAAAACAATGACCAAGGACAACAGAAGAATTGATGCCTTTGAATTGTGAATGTGATGGAGAAGAGTATTGAATATACCATAGACTGCAAAGAGAAAATGGAGAGGGTGAAACCACTCTGCTCCTTGGAGACAAAGATTTTGAAACTCCATCTCACATACTTTGGGCACGTAGCCAGAAGAGACTAGTCTCTGGGCAATGACATCATGTTTGGAAGGATACAGGGACAGCACAGGAGAGGAAGATATTAGATGAGATGAATTGACACAATAACTGGGATAAGGAGGGTAGGTGTGTCAGAGACACTGAAATTGGCTCAAGATAGATAAAGCAGGGTTAAGAGCTATTGTGCATAGGGTTGTTACGAGTTACAGTTGACTCAGCAGTACATAACTACAATAATAGCCCAAAGAAAACCGTTCCAAGGTGCTTCCTCCTCTTACATGACTCTTAGAATTTTCAAGTCAAAGTCATATATGCACATGGTTTAACCTATTAAATAAAGCAAAGTCAATCTGTAACTAAGTATTTGAGAGAAATATGGGCAATCTCCTTTAGTGTATATGATAGCTCTGGAAACCCAGTGAAGGACCATTTATGAGTTGGTTCTGACTCAATGGCAATACTGTTGCTGTTATTAGGTGCTGTCGACTATGACTCATATCAACCCTATTAACAATGGATCTGAACCTTTTCTGTCCTGTGCCATTCTCATCACCTCTGACATACTCAAGTCTGTTGATACAGTCACTGCATCAAATCATCTTATTGAGGGTCTTTCTGTCTTTCATTGACTCTTCTACCTTTCCAAGCATGATATCCTTCTGCAAGGAATTGTCTCTCCTAATAATATGTGAGATGGAGTTTTGCCATCCTTGCCTCTAAGACACACCTCGGTTATAATGTATCTAAGAGAGATTTGTTTGTTTGGTAGCTCATGGATGTTGTAGTTGTTGTCATGCTCCATCAAGTCAATTACAGCTCATAGTAACCCTATGAACAATGGTTCTGAACCTTGCCCTATCCTCAAACAAATTCACCAGCTTGGTCTCCCATTGTCACAGTCACTGTGTCAATCCATCTCGACTCTTCCTCTCTTGAGCTAACCTTCTATCCTTCCAACTACGAGGTCCTTTTCGAAGGACTGGCTCCTCCTGACAATATGCTGAAAGCATGAGAGGGAACGTTTAAAAATCCTTGCCTTCAAGGAGTAATCTGGTTTCACTCTCTTGAGGACAGATGTGTTTGCTCTCTTGGCAATCTATGGGAGGTTCAATTCTCTTCTCCAAGATCATAGCTTAAAGGCATCAATGCTTCTTCTAGCAACCTTAGTCATTGTCCAGCTCTCAAATGCATAGCAAGCAATTTAGAAGGCTTGTATCAGGTGTACCCTAGTATTTAAACTGACATTGTTGCTCTTTAGCACTCTGGATGGAGAGGTCATTGACAGTAGATTTTTGAATGCAACTCATGTTTTTATTTCCTGACTGCTGGAGCCAAGGGTGTTGACTGTGGATCTGAGTAAGAAGAGGTTGTTAACATCTTTTTTCTACCCATCATGATGCTGCCTATTGGCCTGGTGGTTAAGAGTTTTGTTTTCTTAATGTTGAGATGTACTCTATGCTAAAGGCAGAAGTCTCTGATAATCTACAGCAAGAGCTTCAAGTTCTCCTCAGTTTCAGTAAGCAAGGTGTGTCATCTGCATAATGCAGGTTGTTGTTAAGTCTTCCTCTGATCCTGATACTGCATTCGTCTTCATAGAGCTCAACTTAGTGAATGATTTGCTGAGCATACAGATTGAATAGGTACGGAGAAAAATAACAACAACAACCCCACCTTTCTTAATTTTAAACATTTCAGTTAGGATCTGTCTGACATCAGCAAGGATATCCTGGGTACTACAGCCTCTTCTAAACCAAATTTGAACACTGGCAGTTCTCTGCCAATGTATTGTTCTACCATTTTAGACTGATCCTGAGTAATATTTTGTTTGTATATAATATTAATGAACGTGTTTTTGTTGTTGTTATATGCTATTGAGTAGCTTGTGACTCATAGTGACCCTTTGTACAACAGCTCTGAATCCTGTTCTAATCAGAGTCAACCTGATCCAGGAAGTATCAAAAGAAGATGGAAGGAGTACACAGAGTCACTGTATCAGAAGGAATTGGCTGACACAGAGGAATTTCATGAAATAACATATGAGCAAGAGCCTATGGTGATGAAGGAGGAAGTTCAAGTTTCTAAGAAGGAATTGGCAAAAAAACAAGGCTCCAGGAGTTGACAGCGTACCAATTGATTTATTTCAACAAACAGACGCTGCCCTGGATGTGCTCACTAAGTTGTGCCAGGAAATCTGGGAGACAGCCAGCTGGCCAATGGACTGGAAGATCGATATTTGTTCCCATTTCAAAGAAAGGTGACCCACAGAGTGTGGAAATCATTAAATAGTACCATTGATATCACATGCAAGCATGATTCTGCTGAAAATTATCCCAAAACATTTGGAACAATATGTCAACAGAGAACTGCCAGATGTGCAGGCTGGATTTAGAAGAGGTCGCGATACTAGGGATATTATAGCTAATGTTAGATGGATCTTGGCAGAAAGCAAAGAATACCAGAAGAATGTCTATCTGTGCTTCATTGACTATGCAAAGGCTTTTGACTGTGTGAATCACAAGCTGTGGTTGACT